TACTGCGAACCGGTGACGGACTTTGGCGGCGGAATTAGACGAGCAAGCATAAAATCACTCTTTTGTTTCTTGTTTTCTTTGTTGTTGCCGGCGCTTTTCATCTGTTCAGGAGACATCCTTAGCATTTTGAACGTGAAATTTACTCCCCAGTCCAACTTTTGAACGGTACGAATCAATTTTGAAAGGGTTTCGAAGGCATTATTTCACGACGGCTGCTCTCACGCGTCAGAGGCCCGCCACCCGGCGTTGGTCTGCTAACGCCACGCAGTTTCACGGCAACTGCAACTGCAGTCACCGGTTTTCTTGCTTCTGAGGCTGCAAGTACGCGAGCTCTTTTTTGTAATCTGCTTTACATGTTGCCTCGGAACAAGGATGCACGCAAGGGTACAAGCTTCCAAGATGGTTGAGGGGCTGAACCAATAAAGTTGATCTAACCGACTCTCAAGTCCTAGTTTCTCCCTGCATTTCGACTGCTTTGATTTCCGTCCCGGATGTCAAACTTGACTTCAAAATATTCGGCGGGTTCCAAAATTGTTTTGATGCTGGAGAATGTCTCACCTTTTGAAGTTGATGTGACTGTGATGATGATGATGATATATGAAGATCAAGATATACATAATGGTGCGTTTAGGACATACTTTACCAGCAGTTGAGACACCAGCTGTATTTCATTGGCCCAGTGTTACCTTTTTCGGTCAGATGCACTGGGAACGGTTTGGTCAGTAGAGCATTTGAGAGGCTCATAGAGAGTGTTCCATATGTATGCGGTGTTTCGAACTAAGATAGTCGTTTTGAAAATCATTCATTGCAGTTCACAGCCCTGCTCTTCTTAAAAAATGCTCCAAATTTGAAGACATTGAACCAACTATCAGATAAGACGAAATAAGTTCACTTATAACTGTTCGTATATCTTTAACTGAAAAAAGCTCTAGACAACACAATTTCTCTGTTTAGAGAACATACTCCTCAATACGTCATTGCTTAATTGCGTCATCGTACCTTGCACATCATTGATTGAGAGCCTATTGACGGCTCTTATGTCTGGAAATCGTGCTCACGATCGCCAGATATGAGCAACTCAACAATAATATTGTTCTCGGTATTGACCGCCGCATCACAAAAATAATGACAGGATTGATGACAGCCATAGAATGTCAAGGTTGTCAGTCAGCAAGTCAGGGCCCTCAGTCAGGCACTGCGGGCTCCTGGCCTACGCAGAGGCCTCATTGTTTCAGGGGTCCTGCTCCCGACCAGTGCAACTCGCGGGTCCCAGCCTTTTCCTTTCTTGGAACTGTTCTGACAGGACTCAGACCAACATGGGGCAGGCTGTTCGTTTCTGTCGGTTTCTGACGGAAATACACATCCGCTTTGTCCTAGGGTGTTCCCGAACGATGCAAGAGACTGTCCGCCTGACATCTGAGGGCTTGGGTCTGCAGACTGGAATCCTTAATATAACCTACAGCCAGCCCCTCGTGCATTCAAATCAGGCACTTAATCTAAGTCGGTCTGTGATGGTCTGGTGGTCTGTGGTCCCCCTCAAACACCGCCTCAGGCCGATGCCAGGTCCCTTGCCATACATGGCCCTTGTTGTGCATTGCAGTCTCCAGATCTACACACGAGCCCGTTTATTGTCTCGGGTCACCGACCCATGTAAATCGCGGGCCCTGGCCTTGTCTGCGCTTGGGAAATGCGCCCTGAATTTCAGACCTAACGTCTGCGTAATCCGGTGACGAGCCCGTCACGTGTCACGGTCGTTCAGACTCCACCAGACGGATGTATTTTCGCAAAATCGGTTAGGGGCTGAGCGGGGAAACCCTAGCCTTTAATAAACAAATAATTGGTTTCTTCCCGGATTTGATCAACTTTACTCTTAACGTAATGGAGCTGGATTTCTATCCAATCGAATAGAAACCTCTGGCACTGCTCTAATATGCCTCCTCTCTCTTCTCCGGCGGAAGATGTTCTCGCTGGGCACCATTATCATTTTGTTTGGCGTCGATCGTCAAAATCAATTTTCGGTAATCGACGCAATGTCGATGTTATGTGGTCCAAGACGTTGTTGGACGTTTACGGTTTTGGGAGTGAAGACAGTAGGTTGGTGTGCGCGACTACTTAAGGCTGCCTCGGAAAGCCCCGGCTGGTAGCCGTAAAGGCGGCTGGCAGGCTAAAACGCAGCACTCGCGTTAGGCATGTTTGACACGGCTAGTGTTGTTTTGGTGGTCATGGTCGGACGATTACCGCCATCAGTTTGGTCAACTGGTGTCGATCGTCAAAACTGTGTAACTTCCATGGAATCTTCACGTCGAATTGGAGTTTAGTACATTTCAACCGTTCTGTCGAACATTTCCGGGTAAAAATTTGCTCACATTTTTTAGTGTCAACATTGGACCGGTTTCTTTTCTAGTTCCATTAAGACATCGCATCGTATCGTGGCAACACAAGGCAACTTGCTGTAATCCATGGATCTAAATCTGTGGATAAACATCACGGAATAATACCAACATGCTCAGGCAATCACACAAAACTATATCAGAGTCAACGGGACACATGAATCGTGTATGTAAAAGCATGCACCATGCAATCAAAACTGAAAACACCCAAATAAACACGGCACGAACGCGGAGCTTTTACAGTGTGACCATCTCAGAAAGCTGCGCTCAGCTGTGACTATCTCAGAAAGCCGCGCTCAGCTGTGACTATCTCAGAAAGCCGCGCTCAGCTGTGACTATCTCAGAAAGCCGCGCTCAGCTGTGACTATCTCAGAAAGCTGCGCTCAGCTGTGACTATCTCAGAAAGCCGCGCTCAGCTGTGACTATCTCAGAAAGCTGCGCTCAGCTGTGACTATCTCAGAAAGCTGCGCTCAGCTGTGACTATCTCAGAAAGCTGCGCTCAGCTGTGACTATCTCAGAAAGCTGCGCTCAGCTGTGACTATCTCAGAAAGCTGCGCTCAGGTGTGACTCTCTCAGAAAGCTGCGCTCAGCTGTGACTATCTCAGAAAGCTGCGCTCAGCTGAACATGACATCGCAGTTCTCATTATCTTTTTCCTTTTGTCTGTGAAGCAGTTAGTGGGAGCCTTCTTCAAAGTTGATATAATTGTGATTCTTCATTTATAACGCCCTGCTTGTACTTCGGATCCAGAAGGTTGGGAGCCAAACTCACTGTTGGAGGGGGGGGGGGGCAAATCGGACATTTGGGGGGAAACATTGACCCACCCAAAGAGTGCAAATCGACACACGTGTCAGCGTGCTTTACCGCAATCCGTTTTTGTTTCCATAGCATCCAGATATCACCCGGGCCGCGTTCAGGTGAAGGCATTCGTCACACGAAGATGATGCGACGCTGTCCAGTCTAGCAAGCGTGTTGTGTGAGCTCTGTGACCCATCATGTGGGTCACACATTCTGTGTCATGATACTTTGCCGTGTGATGTGCTGTGCGATCCGAACCACATCGCTGCGCCATCTCAGACGGAGCGCATAGCACAATATGATGTCGTCAGCCCACTTTACTGACCAGCCACCATCACGTGCGTGACTCTGCTCATATCTGGCCTGGGTTACACAGATGCCGTCGATTTTTAGAGGAACGCAAGTGGAGTGACCACCCGCCGTAATCTTGAGGATAACTGTGGTCAGAGGCCCTGGAATACCCCTTGAGTCTCCCCATTGTGGTGTCACACGGCGCACATATCAGCTGTCAGCACAGACACTGTGACGTGACCTTTGCCGTAGCTCCCCACACATCCGGTCCATGTGCCCTGATTTACCAAAGCGTTTCTCAGTGACCTTTGAGGTCGGTCGCGTTGAAACAGCGGCCACGGTTTACAAAAGTCAGCAGTACAGTGTCGTTTTGCCCGGTCTGTGTACATGCCTGCGTATATTCTCGCCCACCAAGTGGCTGTCCAGTTTGTTATCATGCTGCTGTGTTCTTCGCTGCGCTTCTCAGTCCGTTGATGGACTCCCCTTTGCTTCACCACATTGTCCAATTTCGCGGCGTCCTGTCCGTCCGCTCGTCCCGCTGCATTCCAACCTGTCCGCCTGTCCGTCAGCTTATCCCTTGTCCGCCAGCTTGTCTTGTCTCCTCCCAATCACTGCATCCTTCTGCACATTCCCCTCCCCAACAGTGCATTTCCCTGTCAACCAGCACGTTCATGTGTCCGCTAGCTTGCTCTTTTGTCTGTCATTTTGCCCCTGTCCGTCAGCTTGCCCCCGGTCTGCTATCTCGCCCCTGTCCGTTAGCGCGTTCTCTTGTCAATCCGCGCGTTACCCCATCCGTCGTCTTGCCTCCTATTCGTTGGTATGTTCCCTGCCCGTCGTCGCGTTCCCCTATCTGTCGTCGCGTTCTCCTGTCCGTTGGCACGTTCCCCCGCCCGTCAGCGCGTTCCCCTGTCCGTCGGCGCACTCCCCTGTCCGTCAGCGCGGTCCCCTGTCAGTCGGCGCGTTCCCCTGTCCGTCGGCCCGTTTCCCTTTCCTTCACCGCGTGCTCCTGTCCGTCAGCGCGGTCCCCTGTCCGTCAGCGCGTTCCCCTGTCCATCGACGCGTTCCTCTGTCCGTCGTCGCGACCCCCTGTCCGTCGGCGCGGTCCCCTGTCCGTCGGCGCGGTCCCCTGTCCATCGGCGCGTTCCCCTGTCCGTCGGCCCGTTTCCCTTTCCTTCACCGCGTGCTCCTGTCCGTCAGCGCGGTCCCCTGTCCGTCAGCGCGTTCCCCTGTCCATCGACGCGTTCCTCTGTCCGTCGTCGCGACCCCCTGTCCGTCGGCGCGGTCCCCTGTCCGTCGGCGCGGTCCCCTGTCCATCGGCGCGGTCCCCTGTCCGTCAGCACGGTCCCCTGTCCGTCGGCGCGGTCCCCTGTCCGTCGGCGCGGTCCCCTGTCCAGCGTGCGGGACAGCATCGATCACTCCGACGGCTCGCCGTTGAGTCGGGCCGTGGCCGCTGCACGGCCGGCGATCGATGCGCCGCGTGTGGCGCATGATGTGCCCGCTCGCCGCCGCCACCAGTGGACGCCATGGCCGGCGAGCCGGAGGCAGAGCTGCCGGGTGAGTCGCGCCGCGGGCCCCGAGGAGGCCCGAGGAGCAGGTCCCGAGCAGGCCCGCTGTCGTACCGGCAGGCAGACGGCGGCGCTGGGAGGCTGGCGCCAGGCACGAAGCTGGCCAATACCACCTGTCCCTGATGCGGGGCTCGGCGAAAGTTTGCGACGTTCGCATGACGCGTGAAGCGGAGCGGGAACCGAGCGGTGCGCTGGTGCTCGCGTTGGTGTCGACGTAAGGTTGGTGTACACTGATGACTCTGAACAGTTGGAGGCGGGGGCGACGCCAGTGACCGCGAGCTTCGGAGAGAAATGTTCAGTGGGTTAGCGCCGCCGAACGACCGATAGTGATCCCGTGTTTGACCTCGTCTTGTCTGTCCGCAGAGACGGGCGCCGTGCTGACCTTTGGGCGGAGTCGGTTTGCCGAGAACCAGGCGTCCCGGTTCTGGATCAAGAACGACAGGGTGGTCGCCTGTGCCTGTGGTGACGAGCACACCATCGTGATAGCAGGTGAGAATGTCATTAACACGGACGGAGCGGCGAAGGTGGCTACAGAAAATTATTCACTTATCCGCAGCACATATGAATGATAAGCGAATCACACATCAGCGAAAATATCATCGGAGCCCTGCGCATCTTTGGAGCCCCTCGCTTCGATTGTGGCGAATAATCATCTAGCTTTGTCCTGCCCACAGCACTAAGACCGTGGGACAGAAGCCCAACTACTCAGCTGCGCTGCCGGTCTAACACGATACCGCGGTGTGATATTTGTGTTGCATACGGCGTGGATGATCCACGACCGTCGTTAGCTTGCAACGATCGTCATAACCCTTCGTCCTTTGACTGAAGCACGCTCCGACCCCTCCCTGCAGTCAAATAAAATCCCTTTTCTCGGGACCAGCACTGCGTTGCCATCCGCGACGTTTTTGAAATCTGACATAATGTTAATGATACGCCACACGACGGTGTCAGCACGAAATACGATTGTGTTTCGCTGGAAATCACATCGCAGTTTACTACAGGGTCACAAATGGGTAGCTGGTGGGACTTCCGTTTGTCAACAGCATGGGTTAAGGCCTGTGACCCGTGGTTGCGACGGCCAGATGGCCGGGGCGCACGAGAGGTGGCGCCTGTGGTGGAAGAGCGAAGTCCGAGCCTTGTGACCGCTGCTTGTGACGGTCGCAAGCCCCGGGCGTGTGATCCGTTACTTACGGTGGCACCGTTTACACAGACCAGGCACCGCCCGGCGCGCTTATTAGTCCGCGAGGCACAGACAGGAAAATGAGGTCGGTCCGCTTAGGGCATTGGTGGACTTTCTGGCTCGAGGTTCCTTTGGACGGATGGTCTGAAGCTCTGTAGCTCAGGAAGCTCCATAGCTCAGGCTGGCGCTCACTTTGGTTAGCTCATGTGCTGCTACGACTGATCGGGTGAAAGAGTCGCGGAAGTATAGTTAAAAACTTGTGCGTCATTTTGACAGCACGTGGACTTCTACGAGTGAGTTGCCAAGAGTGCCACCATTCAGTTTCCCCAGCCGAAGGTGTCCTCTCCGCCCGCTCGACAGTGGGAAGTGTTTGGGCGCTGTTATGCAGTGGGAAGTGGTTCAGTTTGGACCTGGTCTGCAGAGAAACAACGCAGAGGGAATGTTTTAATGAGTAGTGCTGCTTTTGGAGACCGTTGTCATGAGACTGCAGGGGCAGATTTTGGTCGCATCGCACTGCGAGAGCAGTTATAAGAGTGGCCCACTATAATTTCCCGTGCAGATCGTCAGTGCTGTCTGCAGCGTTCAACAGGTGAAGCCAGGGTATCAGGAGATTAGAGGCGGTATGGGAAGGTTGGCTGAGGGGAGAAAGGCTGCAAGGCTGCGGTGCATCGATTATATATATATATATATATATATATATATATATATATATATATATATAAACGCAATCAAAATGCATTTGGCCGGTTAAGTCTCTACACGTTCCGCTCCGGGCTGTGACCGCAGGACTGCTGACGTCGGACCGCTAATGAGAGGTTCGACCCCGCCGGGAGAGCCGATAGCGCCCCGTTCAACGGTCAGAGGCGGCTACAGCTGGCTGAGGCTTGGAGTGGGGAGGCGGCAGACGCCCTGCTACGCCGGAGCAGCGGTGCTTCGCTGTGTGGTGTGACACTATGCAGCGACAGACACCATGCATCTGAGTCCGCTGAAACTCGGGATCGTACACGTGGTTGTGGGACTCCAATGCAAATGTATCGAGTCATCTCACGCATCAGTGGGCCGCATGCACGGATTAGCTATTTCTTTTGTTTCGGGAACGCGACGCACGTCGTCGCGCGCGAACGGGATTTAAACCCGGGACCTCGCGTGGGAGCAGAAGGCACTAATCACTTGGCCGTGACGCCCCTGAATTGACTACTTCAAGGAAGCAGCACACGCTCATGTGCAATGAAAGCTAAAGAGGCGTGGGACGATTGAACCTAAGACCGACCGATAACCACGCTCAAAGACGATATGTCGATCAATGTTCCTGTGTTGTCAAGTTTTACCCGCACAGGTATGACGTACGAGAAGCATTCACACTTCAGCGATGTGACTTAGCAGTGCGCTGCGTTGTCACCCATTCGTGAAGCGATAAGAAGTCTCGTCTCGGTCAAGAATTTAGCGGAACGGCGTGAAGGGAAAGTTCCAGAGGGATCTACGCTCATCTCAAACCCTGATTTGTCTGAGTGTGTCGGAGTGTGAATCGAAAGCGTGTTCCGAACATCAAGCTGGTAGCGGTGTCCGCGGAAGAGCATGTCCGCGTGATCGAAGTGGGGTGGCGCAGCCTGTCTTAACGTGACAAGAGCTGCCCGCCACCGCCCCTGATCCCACACTCCTGAGCACGCCCCTGGCCCCACACTCCCGAGTAAGCCCCCGGTCCCACACTCCTGAGCACGCCCCTGCTCATCACGACTGTTGCGTGTCCTGCCCGCGGCTGCTGTAATGGGTACCGTATCGGCGGGGCCTAACGGGCCCTCGTGCTCCGGGCAATCAGTAGGACGTCCTCTAACCAACAACGGTCTCAACTTAACAAGGCAGCTCCTGTGTATGTGGCGTATGGAGCTGAATCTCTGAGGCGCGATAAGGCCTTTGATGACGAACGAATGCCGGTGATGAATGCTTGACGATGTCGTTTGTAAAATAAGGTTTGTAAAATAAGGTAAAATAAGGTAAAATAATGCATGACGATGACGTTTGTGAAATGAGGTTCCAGAATACCACACACTGTTATACTGCTGCGCTCCGTTATACCGCTCCGAAGTAAGCATCGATGAGAAGCTGCACTGAACTATAATAAGGATGTCGTGTTCGTAGCGTTTTATCTGATGCCTCACGAGCCACCAAGCACGTGCGGCTTAGCACCCTGCTCTCCTGTGCGTGACTCCGGAAACGCTGCGTGTGATGGCCCTCTACCCTTCCTAATGAGCCCGGGCACGGTATCACAACACGCATGGCCACTAGAGACAAAGACGGAGCGGCGACGGAGCGCTGACAGCGCGTGTCAAACCCCTGAGCCGCCAGCTTGGAAAGGAAGGCAGGTCACAGACACGGCAGGCGCAAGCCGAAGGTGAATGTCAGGTAAAGAGGAGCAGGAGCCGAATACTATGTAAACCGCGCTCAGCTGCGCAGGAAATCGGTGGGCGAATGTAATGTAAACCGCGCGCGGCCGCACAGGAGATCGGCGGGCGAATATGATGTAAACCACGCGCGCATGCGCAAGAAATCGGTGGGCGAATATGGTGTAAACCGCGCGCGGCTGCGCAGGAAATCGGCGGGAGAGAGCGAAAGGAAAAACCTGGCAGCACTCTAGTGGCATTCAACCGCTGTTTAGTATGTCTTGTTTGTCACGCAGACAGTACCCAGACTGCGGTCGCTGCTATGTTGGATCTTCCCACGATAAGCAGCGTGACCAGTTCCAGCCTTGAAAGCCGCAGCAGCTGTCTGTGTCCATCTAAAGTTTACTTCTGGTTTTGAAAAGGCGGCGTGTGGACGGCCACATTCGATGAGTGCTATCATCGGGCGGTCGTCTTGTTTCAGAGTCTCACCGAGTGTTTGCCTTCGGAACGAACGAGTTCGGTCAGCTGGGACTGGGCCACTCCAAGTCGGTCACTCGCCCAAGCTGCATCAAAGGTAACAATTTTAAACACTTAAAAATGTGTTTAATCACAGTCCCTTCACATTTTACTTCGCACAAGTCGAAAGTCGTTCAGTAAATTGCGTTACGGTGCAGACAAATTCCCTGCGAAATATATGATGACCTTTCGTGATGCTCGGTGATCTTTTTGTGAGAACATCGACCCCATCGCGAAGGTCTCGTCGTACGCTGCTCACGTCATGACAGAAAACCTGAGTCCGCTAACACCCGCATGGGAGTGTGGCCCAGACTTGACTGACGCCTGCTACTTGAAGGACACTTGTGCTGACCAGGGGTGTGTTGTTGGCGGTCAATGCCTGCCAGAAGCTCCTCTGGCGCGCACCACGTATTTGTATTTATGACAAGACTTCGTGTATGTCGCAGTAAGTACCTTTCGCATGATCACATAGCCGTCCTGCGCACGCTCCGCGATCCCATTTTGCCCACTCGCCGGAAATGAACAGATGGGCAGTAGTGATCCCGCCTGTGCATCTAACGGATGTATGTTGTTTGCAGCCTTGAAGTCAAAAGAATGTCACGTGGTGGGGTGCGGAAAGTCACACTCCGTGGTTGGAACTGGTAAGTGGCACACAGCTCCTGGCTCATATCCCTCCTCCCAAACAAAATCTGTCGCTCGTGTAATAGGCTCGAAGAATAACCGTCACTGAACAGTGGCCCTGGAAGTGCTTACATCGGTGCCGTAATCCTATCTTACGCGGGCAGATTCAATCACATGGGCGGCTGAGGCTGTGTTTGAATGGGAGGGATCTGAGATGAAGTGGAAAGTAAAAAGTGTGACTGAAATCATCCGAGTTGAATCATGTGGGGCTTCCAACACCAAGCCTATGCGCTGTCACAGCAGCGTCCCTCCAGCGCCACACGCATCATGGCCAGTGATCCACCCACGATGCAAACAGTGCAGTCGTGCGCCTGATACCCCGGTGAGCCGTCCCCTCCACGCCTGGTCTTCTGCCGCTACTCTGCACGACTCGGCGCGTTCTGTTCCAGGCGACGGCAAGCTGTTCGCGTTCGGACTGAACCAGGACGGTCAGCTGGGTCTCGGCCATACAGAGTCGACCTTGGAGGAGGTCACCGCCTGGTCAGGCCTGCCCGCGCAGCTCGGGGCAGGGGTGGCCCACACCGTCGCCCTCACAGGTAGCCATGGGTACCGAACTGGTGGGGCAGGGGTGGCACACACCGTCGCCCTCACACATAGCCATAGGTACCGAACAGGTGGGACAGGGGTGGCCCACACTGTCGCCCTCACAGGTAGCCATAGGTACCGAACTGATGGAGCAAGGGTGGCCCACACCGTCGCCCTCACAGGTAGCCATGGGTACCGAACAGGTGGGACAGGGGTGGCCCACACCGTCGCCCTCACGGATAGCCACAGGTACCGAACAGGGTGGCCCACACCGTCGCCCTCACAGATAACCATAGGCACAGAACAGGTGGGGCAGGGGTGGCCCACACCGTCGCCCTCAATAGGAACCGAACACGTGGGGCAGGGGTGGCCCACGCCGTCACCCTCACAGTTAACCATGGGTGCCGAATCGCTTGAGGCATGGGTGGTGCACAGTGCAGACGGGCGCCCCCAAGGGTAGGCATGGTTGCTGGCCAGCCGGAGCGGGTTTGGCATGCTCGGTGCCCCCACGAGTAGTTACGACGACTGGGTATGACCAGCGGGGCCGTCCCCCATGCATCAGGACCAACCCCTGACAAGGATGGCCCATGGATGTGGTCGGGTACGCGCTAACAGTTGTCTGTGACTGTCCCACAGTCGACGGACGCCTGTACACCTGGGGCAGCAATGCCGAGGGCCAATGTGGACTCGGGGAATCACCTGGCGCCGCGGTCCCGACCCTGGTGCCATCTGACGACGAGATCGTGAACGTCAGCTGCGGCTACCGGCACACGGCCTTCGTAACGGGTGAGGTAGAGACATTGACAGATCGCGTGGATATGAATATAATAATTGCACGACATGACTGACGTCTTAGATAAGGTAATACAGCGAATTGCTATGGGCTTTCACATTGAAAGGACGTCCATTAATAGATGAGAATATGCGGTTGAATCGGCTGGAAGCTGTTCTCACCCTCGATGTTAATAGGAAAGGTTAAAAGGCTACAAACATCGTACACTGAGCGTGATAATGCTACTTATTTACAGTGTGACGTGACGGAACTATCGCAATTTTGAGAACGAAAACATTTTGACTTGATGTGCTCCAATATGCATAGCATCACACGTCACTAATCACGGACCGGCCACAGCAATTGTCGGCCAGTCAGTGGTTCGTTGGTGTTGTTCATAGCAGATCGCGTGTTGCGTGTGAGTAGCAGAGAAAACCTCCCGTCCACAACATGTGCTCAGACTCAGGAAAAAAACGTGCCAGGTCTGAATGTCTCTTTTGCAAGTCTGCCTTTATCACTTCAAAGCCCGAAGCGAAGGTGAAGCAGTCTCATTTAATGTTCCAGCCAGTGCTCACAGCCAGTGCTTATTTACGTAAACCGAATCGGATGATGGTTGAAGCCCAGCAGTATTGGGTGCACGCCTGGGTCGTTTTCGAGATCCGTGCTCGCACCAAAGTCAGTCAGGTAGCCGCCACCGTCATCATGGTCACCAGTTGTGTCTAAAGCACACCAGCTGCAGAACCATCCAGCCCTGTCTCTGACCTGATTTTGACCTGGTGCAGAACCCCCGTCTCCAGCGCCTGACCTGTCCTCTGCAGAATCACCTCCACCCAGCGCCTACCCCGTAACACGAACCCCTGCAGAATGACCTCCGTCCAGCACCTGGCCATGTGACCTGTCCTCTGCAGAATGACCTCCGTCGAGCACCTGACCGTATGACCCGTCTTCCGCAGGATGACCTCCGTCCAGCACCTGACCGTGTGACCTGTCCTCTGCAGAATGACCTCCGTCGAGCACCTGACCGTGTGACCTGTCCTCTGCAGAATGACCTCCGTCCAGCACTTGACCGTGTGACCTGTCCTCCGCAGAATGACCTCCGTCCAGCACCTGACCGTGTGGCCTGTCCTCCGCAGAATCACCTCCGCCCAGCGCCTACCCCGTAACACCAACCCCTGCAGAATGACCTCCGTCCAGCACCTGGCCGTGTGACCTGTCCTCTGCAGAATGACCTCCGTCGAGCACCTGACCGTGTGACCTGTCTTCCGCAGGATGGCCTCCGTCCAGCACCTGACCGTGTGACCTATACTCTGCAGGATGACCTCCGTCGAGCACCTGACCGTGTGACCTGTCCTCTGCAGAATGACCTCCGTCCAGCACTTGACCGTGTAACCTGTCCTCCGCAGAATGACCTCCGTCCAGCACCTGACCGTGTGACCTGTCCTCCGCAGAATCACCCCCGCCCAGCGCCTACCCCGTAACACCAACCCCTGCAGAATGACCTCCGTCCAGCACCTGGCCGTGTGACCTGTCCTCTGCAGAATGACCCGCGTCCAGCACCTGACCGTGTGACCTGTCCTCTGCAGAATGACCTCCGTCCAGCGCCTTACCCCGTAACTTGAACCCCTGCAGAATGACCTCCGTCCAGCACCTGGCCGTGTGACCTGTCCTCTGCAGAATGACCTCCGTCGAGCACCTGACCGTATGACCCGTCTTCCGCAGGATGGCCTCCGTCCAGCACCTGACCGCGTGACCTGTCCTCCGCAGAATGACCTCCGTCCAGCACCTGACCGTGTGACCTATACTCTGCAGAATGACCTCCGTCCAGCACCTGACCGTGTGACCTGTCCTCCGCAGAATCACCTCCGCCCAGCGCCTACCCCGTAACACCAACCCCTGCAGAATGACCTCCGTCGAGCACTTGACCGTGTGACCTGTTCCCTGCAGAATGACCTCCGTCCAGCACTTGACCGTGTGACCTGTCCCCTGCAGAATGACCTCCGTCCAGCGCCTTACCCCGTAACTTGAACCCCTGCAGAATGACCTCCGTCCAGCACCTGACCGTGTGACTTGTCCTCCGCAGAATGGCCTCCGTCCAGCACCTGACCGTGTGACCTGTCCTCTGCCGAGTGACCTGAGTCCAGCACCTGACCGTGTGACCTGTCCTCTGCAGAGTGACCTCCGTCCAGCACCTGACCTTGTGACCTGTCCTCTGCCGAGTGACCTGAGTCCAGCGCCTGACTGCGTGACCTCCCGCAGCTGACGGCGAGCTGTTCACTTTCGGTGAGAACGACGATGGCCAGCTGGGGCTGGGGGACCGGGAGAGCCGGAGCCGGCCCACGATGGTGCCCGATCTGCAGGACGTGGCGCAGGTTGCCTGCGGCGGTCAGCACACCATCGTCTTACTCGGTCAGTGCGCTGGTGTGCTGAGTCACCACACTTGTGGGTCTGACAGATCAGTACACCGCTGGTCTGCTGGGTCACCACACCTGTGTGTCGGACAGGTCAGTACACCGCTGGTCTGCTGGGTCACCACACCTGTGTGTCGGACAGGTCAGTACACCGCTGGTCTGCTGGGTCACCACACCTGTGTGTCGGACAGGTCAGTACACCGCTGGTGTGCTCGGTCACCACACCGGTGGGTCTGACAGGTCAGTACACCGCTGGTGTGCTCGGTCATCACACCGGTGGGTCTGACAGGTCAGTACACCGCTGGTCTGCTGGGTCACCACACCGGTGGGTCTGACAGGTCAGTACACCGCTGGTCCACCACACCGGTGGGTCTGACAGGTCAGTACACCGCTGGTCCACCACACCGGTGGGTCTGACAGGTCAGTACACTGCTGTTCTGCGCAGATCGCTTGTATTGGTTGCAGGAGCTGTGAATGCGACAGTCACAGCCGTGCGTGGTTTTCTCACAAATCCCTTACAACGTGGTTGAATGATCGGTTTTCCAGTTCCAAAAAAGTCTTATTGCTGCATTAATACACGCGAAGCCGCGTTGCGCGAGAAACGCACGCGATGCCGTGTTGGCGCAACTTCCAGCTTAATGAGGTAATATCAAATATCGACGCACCACCACGCTGCTTGAATTATCAGGCGACAAAAGTTGCTGGGACAGTTCGTGACTGAGGCAGAGAGAGAGAGAGAGAGAGAGAGAGAGAGACAGAGAGAGAGAGAGAGAGAGAGAGAGAGAGAGAGAGAGAGAGAGAGAGAGAGAGAGAGAGAGAGAGAGAGAGAGAGAGAGAGAGAGAGAGAGAGAGAGAGAGAGAGAGAGAGAGAGAGAGAGAGAGAGAGAGAGAGAGAGAGAGAGAGAGAGAGAGAGAGAGAGAGAGAGAGAGAGAGAGAGAGAGAGAGAGAGAGAGAGAGAGAGAGAGAGAGAGAGAGAGAGAGAGAGAGAGAGAGAGAGAGAGAGAGAGAGAGAGAGAGAGAGAGAGAGAGAGAGAGAGAGAGAGAGAGAGAGAGAGAGAGAGAGAGAGAGAGAGAGAGAGAGGGTAGTGCAACCATTATTCCCCTGCCTCTGTCCCAACACGGGCAAAAAAAAACAAGGATCCGCTTCCAAGCTCGATTTGAGTAGAAGCAAACCCGGGCACTGCTTGGACAGAAAAGCTCGGCCGTCATTTCTCAGCGATCAGTGCTCCTCCCCCTCGGCTTAGCCGTTGTTTTCCGCTTCCCAGCTGTTCTGATGCAGTGTGCGGCCTGTCGGACATAATGCCGAAGCCCCCGCCGTTTTTGAAGCTCGTTTATATTGTCGACCAGGCTCATATTCGCCTTGTTTGAGCCATTTACAGCCACCCTTGAGGCCAAAACGGAAAGCGAATTACGATAATGTCCTCTGCGGTGTCGAGATCATGTCACTGCGTGATGTGACCTGCTTTGATGCTTTTGATCCCTGGTCGTAGAGCTGTGACGATTGCATCGAGTTTGCGCCTCATCCGGAATGCTGCAGATCGCCCCACCCAAAACGTCATGAAAATGTCCTCCGTTTCGGCCCAATGGTCACCCCGGATCGCGAGTTTGAGGTGGCCTTGGTTTCGGACTGCCTGACTGTTCAGCAGGACCCTGTGCTTACGGCAGGAGTGACTGCACCACACAAGCGATAGGTGATAGAGCCAAATTTCCTCAAGGCGCCACGGGGACGGCAGGCATTGATTCCGGCCGGCTTGCCACGCCACGGGACGGTGGATGTTGGTCCCGGACCGCCTCATTACACCAAGAAGGGGTCAGCGGTGGTCCCGGACCGCTCGTTACAGCACAGGGCCGGTAATTGTCGATGCCGGCGAACCGAGCCGATCGATCGATGTGGGGCGCGTGCAGTGTGCAGCGCACTGGGCGGCAGCTCGGTCGTGTCGCGGTGCCTCCCCCGCCCGCGGCACTGCTCCTCGCCCTGCCGCGGCCCGGCTCACGGGGTCGGCCTCCACACCGGCGGTACGGTGGCGACACCTCGGCGCGTCAGCGATCGTGCCCTTGGTCTTGGTCTGGCCCACTCTTTGAACGTGGATGAGTCTCGCCATGCAGTGTCGTGTCTTGTGGTATGTGAATCTTTTGACGGTCCGTTAGTCTCATCCTCAACTGAACATGCTATCGCCTTCCCGCTGTGTGCTGTCTCCCCTTGATATAGTTACTTCCTCACTGCCGATTTCGGTGGCCTCTCTCTTGTGCAATAAGCGAATCAAACGCCCCGGCTGTCCATGTCCAGCTCATGCGTGACGCCGCCGCCTGTCGTGACCTGAGCGTTCGAGCGCCGCCTAACAGCGCTCTCGTCTCACCCCAGAGTCGGGCGAGGTGTTCAGCCTCGGCGTCGGCAACCAGGGCCAGCTGGGCCTCGGCAGCCGGGTACTCAGCGCCGCCTAACAGCGCTCTCGTCTCGCCCCAGAATCGGGCGAGGTGTTCAGCTTCGGCGTCGGCAGCCAGGGCCAGCTGGGCCTCGGCAGCCGAGTACTCAGCGCCGTCTCCCCTCAGCGACTGCCGCTGGCCGAGCTGTGCGTCAGGCAGGTGGCGGCCGGACACTGCCACTCGGCCCTCGTCACAGGTAACGTCACTAACGCGTCACCGCGAGTGACGTCACCCACTCTGCCCTCGTCACAGGTAGCATCAACTGGTGATCCCCAGTAGCACGATAGATGCACTGGTCATGTCAACAGCACGGGTCACGGTCACGGGTCATATCAACAGCACGGGTCACGGTCACGGGTCATGTCAACAGCATGGGTCATGTCAACCATTCAGCTTCGTTACAGATGATGTTACATAGCTCAGCTATCGTCACGGGTGACGTCACACACTGCCACTCGGCAACCGTCATCAAACATTACTCGCGGCCGCTCAGCCAGTGCCACAGGGGGACGTCACTCACTGCTTACTCAGCCACGGTCGCACTGGCATGCGTGGCATCACCCGCGTTTCGTCAGACAGGTGGCCGGCACTCACCCGTCGCCGCCGGCAACGCCACTCGCTGACACTCTGTCACTGTGACGTCATCGTAGGTGACATCATTCACATGACGTGATGGAGACGACGGCAGCTCAGCGATCGTTATAGGCGGTATTACGCACTGGCATTGAGCCACGGTGACTTGTTCATCATCCTGGTTTTTTATCAACCTTTTTAGAACCTACAAGTCGCCAGCACCAGATATTACAACTTCGGAATTCGTCTTCAGTCATGATACCATGATCAGAACCTTGTCATAAGGCTAGTTTAGCATTGGAAGCGCTCACCCTCGATCGCGCCCGTTTTAAAACTAAACTTTGCAGAGCCATTGCAACGTAAAAAGAACGACCCTGCAAAAAGATCTCATGAACAAGGGGAGCATGTTGGAGCATTCTACGTGTTTAACCCAGGTGCAAATATTTGCGGACGCAGCTGTTTCCGCACACTAGTCCCATTACTTTGAATGGGAACGTAACATGCACTTAGCATACAGGGAGCAGTTAGAACGTAAACACTATACACCAAAAACACGGAGTGCAAAAGCCCGACACACTGCTTGTCCGCAATGTTCCACGAGGACAGACGGAGGTACGGCGTCGCGACGTTTTCCAATGTTGCATTCCAGGTGACACCATCGGCAGTGAATAGCACTGACGTGTGTCCAGCGCGCGGTTCATCGATTGACCACACGACGGGAGTGGGGCGGGGGTGGTGGGGATTGGCGCGGCCGCGACCGCGTGCCACCTGGTTGAAGTTTCCGTCGGTATCGATCGCGCTTTTGTTTCGACTGTCACCGCGCAGTTTGCGCTGGCCTCGCCGAGGTCACCGCGCAGTTCGCGCCGGCCTCGCCAAGGCATCCGTCCAGTTCGCGCTGACCTCGTCGAGGCTACCGTCCAGTTCGCGCTGACCTCGTCGAGGCTACCGTCCAGTTCGCGCTGACCTCGTCGAGGCTACCGTCCAGTTCGCGCTGACCTCGTCGAGGCTACCGTCCAGTTCGCGCTGACCTCGTCGAGGCTACCGTCCAGTTCGCGCTGACCTCGCCGAGTTACCGCCCAGTTCGCGCTGACCTCGTCGAGGCTACCGTCCAGTTCGCGCTGACCTCGTCGAGGCTACCGTCCAGTTCGCGCTGACCTCGCCGAGTTACCGCCCAGTTCGCGCTGACCTCGTCGAGGCTACCGTCCAGTTCGCGCTGACCTCGCCGAGTTACCGCCCAGTTCGCGCTGACCTCGCCGAGGTCGCTACGCACTTCGCACTGGCCTCGCCGGGGTCACCGCTCAGTTTGTGTCGACCCTTCCGAGGTCACTGAGCAGTTCGCGCTGACCTCGGCGATGGCTCAATCGATGGCAGTCACCGCCCGACCTGCTCGGGTGCGCGAGCTCTTTTCCAACCCGCTGACATGCCCGGCAATTAGGAAAAGTGGCTTCTTGTCAGGCTATTTCTATTGCTGCGGCTGTTCAATGCTGATGGTATTGCCCGTAGTATGAAGGGCACCACGTGACATGTGTAAGCACCAATTACTCCACAGTTACTAGGTCCATGCCATGTTCCATTCTTCCATCACGGACACTGAAGATATCCTGAAACAATGAAGTTGACACCCGAACGAAATTGTCAGATGCCAAAACACAGTAGAATGTTGAACGGGTGCAACTAATAAGACTCCCCGACGTGGAAAGAGCGAAGGCGGCAGCACGTGAGAGCTTGCAGGTGATGCTATGCAGGCACAAACATCATCATATACATTATATTTGGCATCATCTCCATTAGCTATGTTGAGGACCAAAGATCCGTAGGTGGATCCGGTGGTTCACTGATGTAGTCTTACTCAGCAATTCACAAATGGCACTTCCTATAATTCTCGGCAATGAGCTTGGTCAGCCCCGTCAGTTTTAGACAGTTAAGTCACTCCAAATGAAATGTAAACTGAGTTGACAATGGTTTTCATATTATGCGGAAAATAATTTGTGGGTAAATATTGTCCGCAATTTAGGACATTGCATGTCTGTAAAGCGCTCATGGATCAATCTCGCTTGGTTTAGGCAACATAATCTTTCATTAGAGATCAGTTTCGGAAAAGGTGACCTTGACCGCTTTCCGGCCGATTACTAGAGCACCTGTTGCTTCCACAGTTATAAGACCTTTAAGTGAGTTGTAATCGGCGCATTCACTTACATTGTAAAGTTGGTATCACGCCTTCATTTGCCCTGATTGCTGAAATCTGACATCAATCATTAAAAGGGTCCCAGAACGGGCAGATCCCTGCATTGAACACGAGCGCGCGACCTTCTGCACGTACCGACCCATCCCTTTGACAGCACGATCGTCCATTTCCTTGCGTTCAGTATCTGGGGGTCTGTGCCGCTGCGGCGCCGGACCGTCCAGAATTTGACACGGTTTCGGTCGTTGTTCTTCAGCCTTTATTCGCAAATTGGAAATTTTTCATGTTCATTGCTAATCAAGTTGATAAGCAAAATCGTGGTGATACTGCACCGCGACGCTGCAGGAATAGCCCCTCTGATCAGACAGCTGCAGGAAAACTACTTCGTACTTCGTAAAGCATCGTGTCTCTCGTTGTACAAAACTGCAGGAAGCTTTAAAGGGAATGTCTTCCATTTGAAGATATCGAGGCAAGCATGAGATATGATGAAACAAGCTCTCTTATAGCGATTGATGTACTTTTTAAGTGGGGAAGACTGTTCTAGACAGTATAATTACCTGTTAAGTAAATATGTGCCTTGAAACGTCATTGTCTGATTACGTCATTATGCCTTGCACAATATTGAATGAGAGCCAATTGACGGCCGTTATATCTGGAAATCGCGCTCACAAACGCCAAATATAAAGGACTCGACCACCGTATTTTTCTCGGCTTTTATCACCGCATGGTTTATGGAATGGCGGGATTTGAGCGACGTCATCGTGACGTCATAAATACCAAAAAGACGTTGAAATACTCTCGCCGGAATACCCCTCCAATACTCGCGGGTGTGTAGCTCCGAAGCTAGATGGATCCAGGTATTAAGAGGGTCAGGGCTGTGAACTGCCCGAAAGGTCTTCAAGATGGCTACTTCAGTTTAAAACTCCATAGAAATGTGGAGCACTCCCTTTAATCAGCTGTTGCAAAGGTATCAGCCGCTAGAAAGCGTGATAGCCTAGTCCTCCAAGTTGGCAATTTTATTACATTTTAAGTGAGACTAACTCGGCCTACATGTGATCACTTTTAAACCTAAATGTTAAAACCGAGCTGGATCTATTTTGTGCCCATGCTCCTTTGCGAATTTGTTTAACCAAAATCGTTCAAAGAAAACGCCGATAAGACCCATCCTCGTCTTTCTCTCAGTGCACTCGCCATCCGCATTCTGTTCTGCGCCCCCGACCGTTGCCCGACCATCACAGCAGTGTAATAACAGTCCCTTGGCATGATTCTGTACTGTTACTTATTATTTTCCGGGTGCTGGAAGTGAATGTTTGGCTGAGCCTTATCGTTCTACATGGTCCCTCATTTAAAATGGGATTGTTGAATGGTTTGTGTTCAAATAAGTCTGTGTAGACCGCTCATAGTTGTGAAAGATTCTCCTTTTTCTTAACCGGATTACGATCAGCCTCTCCATGGCAGAACCTGACCGGTGCCGCCTGATTTGGGCTGTGCTCTCTCTGTCAGACGACGGTCGTCTGCTGACGTTCGGTGTGTTGTGCTCTCTCTGTCAGACGACGATCGTCTGCTGACGTTCGGTGTGTTGTGCTCTCTCTCTGTCAGACGACGGTCGTCTGCTGACGTTCGGTGTGTTGTGCTCTCTCTGTCAGACGACGGTCGTCTGCTGACGTTCGGTGTGTTGTGCTCTCTCTGTCAGACGACGGTCGTCTGCTGACGTTCGGTGACTCCCGCCACGGCAAGCTTTGCGGCAGTGACGAGGAGAGCAACGTCTTCGTGCCAAAGCTCGCCTCCGAAGTTGGCCAGCTGCATGTCGATAAGGTGAGAGAGAGAGCTCTCAGGTCGGCTGAGCCGGACAACTGATGTCATCTGCCGCCCAAAGTACAGTCGTTTCTATATAAGCCGGTAAGGACTGTATTGTTCCGCGCTGGGTAGGTTGACATCGAATCGACCGTTGGATGGTTGGTTGGGTGATCTTTATGATGGCCCTTATGAAATAGGCGATTGTCTCATTTAACGCTCAAACTAACTTCCTTGGTCAAATTCAGCACTTGTTGTAGTGGGTCGAAGCACAGCGGGTTCAGAAAGACGGCGGGCGTCCAGTGACGCGAGCGTCGGTCGAGTGTTCAACTAGCGTCGCTCGACAGCTGTCTTTGCGAGTGTTTTGTGACGCTGGCTGCCCTTTTGACGCAGGTGGTGCTCGGTGGCTGCCAGTCCATGGTGCTGGTGACTCAGCCAACGTCGCCCAGAATGCTGTCCGACCTCCCCCCGCTCACCAACGGACAGCATCCGGTCGACGGTCTGCACAGCGCTGCCCGACAGCGGCGCCGGGAGAGGGAGGTCAGCCGTATTCTGCGATCTTTTTTGATGGTTTACGGTCTTCTTGCAATATTGACGTTAACGTGTAAAGGCTTGCAGAGGTCGCTCTCCCTGTCTTTCTCGTTCTCCCTAATTGCTTTGACCGATCACATGAATCTTGACTTTTCAGGCCCTCGAACCAAAATGAATCAAGTTTTGAGCATGCATTTATGGTAATGGGCATGGCAACCAACTAACCAAAGCATTTTCCTTTTGAACGTGGTGAAATCATCCCGAAAACGACGGCCAAACCGCCAGATTCGGTTTCCCCACCGCGCTGCCTGACCTGAGCCTGTGCTCCTGGCAAGCTCGCCACCGCGCTGCCTGACCTGAGCCTGTGCCCCAGGCAAGCTCGCCACCGCGCTGCCTGACCTGAGCCTGTGCCCCAGGCGAGATCACCACCGCGCTGCCTGACCTGAGCCTGTGCCCCAGACGAGATCACCGCCGCGCTGCCTGACCTGAGCCTGTGCTCCAGGCAAGCTCGCCACCGCGCTGCCTGACCTGAGCCTGTGCTCCAGGCAAGCTCGCCACCGCGCTGCCTGACCTGAGCCTGTGCTCCAGGCAAGCTCGCCGCCGCGCGGCCGTTCGTTGCCACCCCTGCGGGGCGTGCCGCGGCTGTCGCCCTCGAACGCCCGCCGCGAGGACGAGATCCGGCCCGACTCCGGGCGGACGAAGCCCGCCGACGCCTGCGAGCTGCAGTCGGTGTCGTCGACGAGGCCGCAGGACGCCGACCAGGTGGGGCCCAGAGGACGCACAGACCAGGCCAGGCCAGACCAGGCCAGACCAGGCACGGTCTGTGGACTGATGACCTGCAGGCCTGACTGGTGGCCCTCGGGTCTTCTTTGACCTCAGCCCGGTCCGTGACCGGTTCGTGATCTGGTGTTACCGTCGCTGGTGCCGCGAAGTGGCGTGTTGTGTGATGTGCTCCGAGCTACTGGTTGAAGTGTGGACGTGAATTCATAAATCCCAGAGGTTTTCTTCGTGCTAACATAAATGGCAGTAGCTTACCAAGTTTGACCACTGTTATGGTCTTAAAATGACCGACACATTCAACGGCTATTAATTATCTTGCTGAGGTTACGTGTCAAACAACGATGTCTAACGACGATGAACCATTACAGAAATCACAGCACTCTGGAGAGGAGCATGAAGAAACAAAGGATGACGACGCCGAGGTCAAAACTGTGAAGAAAAAAGGTACAATTATAACCAGATGTATATTCGTTTAGGAGCCAAACCAATTCCAAATACACCCGTATGGTGATCAAAAACTTAGATAGTTTAGTGCTTGTGCAATGTGAGGCATGTTAAATACTCAATTGAATTAAAATCACACTCCCGTTTGATGTTTTGATGCCTACATTCTGACTCTGCGATCAAAGTCTGTGGCGGACGTTTCATTCAAAATTGCACTTTACGAAAGCGCCTAAGGCATGCATGCCATTGAAGGTTATTTTATAGACGAGACAGTATCACTAGCTTTATTCCTCGTAGGATGAACAGGAGAATGGAGAGATAGATGTCATATTTGGGCTACATGCCTTTATCGAAACAAATCTGTTCTTCTTGTTTTTTATTGAAATTAAAGGAAATGATTATCCTGTTAATTCTGCGAAAAATAAGGCTATTAATACTGTCTTATCTATATGCATAGTGTTCCTCGTAACTGCTCTCAACAACTTACAAAGTTATTTTAACTCAATTGAATACATTCATGTTTGTCGCATTTATAGCTTATTTGAGTTGAAAAAGGTAAAAATTTCGAGTGCATGTGTCTTGGTTGTTATCGTATCGACGCTGCAAACGAAACCGCTTATAGGTCATATTGAGTCTTCATTGCCCGGTATCCGCTGATAACGGAGGCAGTCAACTAGCGCCACCTATTCAGATGAGACATTCCGATGTTTCTGAATGCGTATTACATACATTTGCCTCGTTCTTCCCAAAGGAAATCCCCTGAGCCGATTCTTTGGAAGATTCAAGAGAAAGAAGTCTGAAACGTCCCTGAAGGACAAGCAGACAGAGAAGGACACCGAAAAGAAGGAACCTGTCGAGGGGAGTAGCCATCCGGAGGCAGTGATTCAGAGAGGTGGGCACTGGCCGGAGGACGATCTCTCTCGAACCGGCGAGCTGAAAACTGCGTTCAAGGCAGGCCGATTGATCGAAAATGGTTGTTTTTCAGCGTGATCTGTCATGGTCCCGATCAGTTCCGTCTGATCTTGTTCAGCCCAGCTGTCACGCTTCACTCATGCCGGCAATTCTGACGCTGCCACCTGGCCTCGTCGCCGACGCTGGCGTGCTCTGCGTCCGACCGCACCCGTGCCGCCCCCAGTGATGTCCGCGAACGGCTCGGAGCCGGCCGGCGACGAGGAGTGCGCTGGCTCGCCCGGCGCGCAGTCCGGGGAGCCCGCCGCCGAACCGGCTGACGGCGAGGCCGGCCCGGAGCCCGCCCAGTCGCCGCCGCCGCCGCCAGACAAGAAGAAGAGGAAGCAGCTGGTGAGTGGAGCCGCCGGTCTGCCTGCGGTCTGGTGAGGTGTGCCCGGGTGGTGCTGCAGAGCTACGACCTCGTGCCTGTTGCGACCTTTGAAACACCCGTGACGTAAAGCATCCGTCATGCGGACTGACATGTTCACAAGCTGCTGAAACAAGGTGTGGAATAATATTCAGTTGGAGAGGCTCGAATATCTCCCCCAATATGCCGCGTAGCTTATGTACTAGACAGAGGGTCCTCTCAACTTTACAGAGAGACCTCCTAAACCCGGACAGCAGGTTCGTGTGAAATTCACACAGTACAAAAAGCCAGCAAACTGCCAACAGAATACTTTTTGCAGTTCTTCGCCAGTGGCAGAATGTAATGGACGAAACCAACGGAGGAAACAAAATTTGGGGGTTTCCCTTACTTGATAGACCCAGGGCAGTTCTCAGTAAGCTGAATCATCTCAGCAGGCCTTCGCCCTCGCTGATGGATGTCCACGTCGTTTCAGTCCAAGACCTGTACAATCCTGTAGCGCCAGTCACGCGGTCGCTGCCTAAGCTCGACAGCCGCGTATGCTCTAAGTCTACTGAAAGGAACATGAAGCCGGAAAGCACCTCTGGCGCCGGAGACTACGAGTCAACTGCCCACACATTGGCTTACACCAGCGCAGACCAGTGGCACTGGATGAGCTGCGTACGCTTCCATTAAAGGGAGAAACACCCAAGAACGCTCCAGTGATCCAGGACCAAGCCAACAGCAACCATGGCTTCCTGGAATCCCTGGCACGAGGGGAGCTGTGTATGTGGCGTCCAGCACTGGTTCCACGCTGGCTTTCTTCAGGTGATCGTTGTGTTGGGAACGGATTTACATGTCGCCGACGTCGTTCCCCGGCTACTCCGGCTGCTCTCAAAAAGCGCCACAAAAGGTGCGGTCACGCTAGGGAATGCCTCGGACAGCCTTGACATCACACTATGACGGGTGGCTTTGTACTGTTCGTCTGTTTGTTTCTTGAGCGAATTCATGTTATCCGCAGTTGTCTTGGCATTGCTTGCCATTAGCTGATCATATTGTGTCCCATGGAAGCCGTTTACACATAACCACTGACATGGCTGGTTGCATTATAATCATCCGGTTGCGTGAGGAAACAGGACTCTGACGAGCTTTGCCTGTTTCCCGCGCTTTTTCATTCATAAAACAGAAAACCGATCTGCTAGCACACAGAAAGCGGTGAGATGCAGTTACTATTTGGCGAGATACCTTGTTACGTTAATGTTATTTAGTCTCCAAAACGCATCACCTTAAGAAGCGATTAGGAGTGATGATGGCAGAAGTGTTATTGGATAGATATTTAGTGGGACCGATTTGTCTCAAATGGGATGTTGCGATGTTTCCGAACATTCCGTCCCACCTGACTGTTTCCGTCCAAAGGTGTCTTCTTGTGAACACCACCATCTCACGGTGTCGACCTAGTTATTGGCAGTAGAAATCGTGTCGTCGATGTCATTGAACTGCAAAGCCGGTGATACTTATAACATGTACAAAACTGGACCACTTGTAAAGCGGAGCGTACTTGGTAAGCGTGTGCATTTGTGATGTCTGCTAGAGCCTAGTAGCGATGTTCTCCGTTGCAGTAATTCGCCACGAATAGAAATGTTTCGTTGGGGATGTGTACGGGTCGTGTGAGACATACCCAGTGTAACTCCACTTTTACATGTAAATTGTGCAGTAGACATCACGTTCCTTTTATGACAACTTGATTTGCCGGTGGCATTTGGTCCTTTACAAACAAAACTACGGTGGTGTTTTTGTGGTGTCAAGTTTCAGTCAGGGTTACCGTAAGTTTTGCGGATTGTTATCGGCATTAACACACTCGCTCCAGCTGCACGCACCGGAGATAAACCGAGGCTTAAGTCTAAAAGCTGTAGCTGAATGTTTTTCACTGAACTTGTCGCGATTTTCTCAGTGTATCTTGTGCGAATACAGAGATCATCCATCTGATATGGAAGCATCTTTAATCAGGAAAATTCGTGCACTAGATGCTTAACGTATCTAAGCCGACACCTAAAACCATTTCTGGTGGAACTGATCGTTCTTGTGCTGTGAAATTATATCCGTACAGACACAATGTCAAGCTCATTAATGCCCGATCCCGGTACACAAGCTGCCAGTCTCGCCGACAGCAACTGCGCGGCAGGGATCTGATCTGTGAGCAGGCGCAGCTAGTTTACCGTTGCCGGCCCGCCGCCCGGCGAGACGCGACCCTTGGCGGAGGTCACGGGCGCTGACCTAGCGGCTCGGCGTCCGCCAGCTGTCTGGAGTGGTCACCCGACGAACCGCGCGATCACGACGTGGACTCCCTGCGAGTCCTTTCATTGCACTTCAGGCAGGTGTTGCTGATCTTTATCGTCGCTGGACACGGTGCTTCAAGATATGCCCAGTCGGTCGACGCACACATTAATTTTATACTGCGATCTCATTACGTATATGACTCGAGTCACGATATCATCATTGCTAAGTCCCATGCGTAATTGTTAACATAAACATACACGTATCGATGTCTCTTCATATACGCAGCAAGGTACAGCTCGCAGGCATGACGGTTTTTCAAAGCACGCACCGTTGCCTCTGGACGCTGTCCTCGTCATGTGTAGCAGTGGGAAATTACACCAAACGACTAGTCCTAGGAAGTTTTAGATTAATTTTACGCAGTGTTTGTGGGGGTTTATATGATTGCAGCTCGGCTCGAATCGCAGCACACTGTGCACCAGCGTATCCACGCAACACTGCGACGAACGACGCAACACACAACACTGCGACGAATGACGCAACACACAACACTGTGACGCTCGGGGGAGCGAGAGGCTTCAGAGGAGGGGTGGTTCAGCCTGGCCTGGAGCAGCCCAGAGTGGAGACGGCCGGAAAGAAATCTTCACCAGCATCTTCAAATGATGATGTAGTCTGGAAACCAAAGGCAGGTTACACGAGTTATGCCATTTCACGCGATGGCGTCATGCCGGCCGTATCGTCATACCTCACATTATACATGCCAGCCATATTTCTGCACAGTCCTGTTGCTTGCCGCTTCAGGTCCTTGCATCCACTCCATATTCACCAGATTATGTACCTTGCCATTGTACGCGCGTTGTCTATACAAAGGACAGTCAAGCGATATGGCCAAATATACAAACACATACCGCCAGCCAAATCCCTGATCGCGCATATGAGTGGCCTGCAAGCTCCTCACACCCGGCCAATGACGCGGATGGCCCCCGGCGGCCCACGGAGAGCGTCATCCCGCTGAGATGACCCACCCCAGCCACGCCACCCGCTCACCTGCGCGTCGGAACGGACCGAGCCGTGACTTCCGGACTCGGTGCACCACCAGCGCCGCGCCCAGCACGAACACGGCGCAGCCCAGCACGGCCAGGCTGACGTTCGTCATCGTCATGCTGATGTTGCGCCTCTCGGTGGTTTGTACCGCCGGCTCCCGCAGCGGGCCGGCGGAACCACCGTCGTTATGGCCGTGGACTGGACTGTTGTTGGTTTCTCCGTCGTCGTGGCCGTGGACTGGACTGTTGTTGGTTTCTCCGTCGTCATGGCCGTGGCCTGGACTGTTGTTGGTTCCGCCGTCGTCATGGCCGTGGACTGGACTGTTGTTGGTTCCGCCGTCGTCATGGCCGTGGACTGGACTGTTGTTGGCTCCGCCGTCGTCATGGCCGTGGACTGGACTGTTGTTGGTTCCGCCGTCGTCATGGCCGTGGAATGGGCTGTTGGTTCCGCCGTCGTCATGGCCGTGGACTGGGCTGTTGTTGGTTCCCCCGTCGTCGTGGCCGTGAACTGGGCTGCTGTTGGTGCCTCCATCGTCATGTCCGCGGATCATTCTTTGACCCTGACCATTCCTGCTCCTGCTGTCCCCGCTGCTGTCTCCGTCGTCGTGTCCATGCACCTCGCTGTGGTAAGTTGAGCTGTCTTGGCCATTATTCTGTCTGCTGTCTCCATCGTCGTGACCGTGAACTTCGCTATGATAGGTTGAGCTACCCCGACCATTATCCCCTCTGCTGTCTCCATCGTCGTGTCCATGAACTTCGCTATGATAGGTCGAGCTTCCCCGACCATTATCCCCTCTACTGTCTCCATCGTCGTGTCCATGCACCTGGCTGTGGTAGGTTGAGCTGTCCTGACCATTATCCTTGCCGTTGTTGTGACCATCAGTTCTGTCGTCGTGACCGCGAACCTGGGCGTTTGGCGCACTACTTCTCAGACGGTGGGTGTTGCCGTCCCGCTTGCTCGACTCGAGACTATCCCTGCGCCGGGTGTTGCCGTCCCGCTTGCTCGACTCGAGACTATCCCTCCGCCGGGTGTTGCCGTCCCGCTTGCTCGACTCGAGACTATCTCCGCGCCGGGTGTTGCCGTCTCGCTTGCTCGACTTGACGGGCGTGTTGTCGTTGGTCTCGGAGTCGTCGAGCTTAAGACCGGAGTCGTTGCCATTTGGTTCCAGCGTGCGAACTTTCAGGGGCAGTTGTCCGTAGGTGTATGTGTTTCTGAAGTTCCCAATGTCCTTTATGTATGTGTTTCCAGACATGACAATCATGGGGACAGCTTTAGGAATGTTATCGAAACCTCCGTGAGCATCCTCAGACTTTTGCCAGTCCTTCAAACCCTGCGGTTCCAATGAAGAAGCCTCCTTTGTATTTTCATCACCCCTGGTTGATTGATCGTTCGATTGTGGTGGTCTTTCGTTCATCGCTGTGTCATCCGCCGTGTTTCCCTTTTTAGCCATCTTATCCTCCACTTGCTTCATGATATCTTCCAGCCACTTGAAGTAGTCGGTGCCGTTATTGAATACATCAGGCCCTCCGCTGGCTGGTGCGGAGGCGCTGAGCACCCTCGGGTGCCGCGCGGACGTCCGGCTCTTATCGTCCTCTCCTTCCTTTTCCTCATCGTCCTCCGTTCCGGACCTGCCTGGGCCGTTGCTGTCATCTGCTGGGTCCGTCCGGCTCGGCTCCTGTGAGGTCTGGTCGTCGCCGCTGTCGGGAAACTGCTCGTCTCCCACGTCCCTGCCGGCCGTCTGGTTGGCGATAAAGGCGGCTAAGTCCTCCGCAGACACGCCGGCGTCTTTCAGCTGCTTGGCAATCAGGTCCGCGACCATTTCGCTGATGTCACCCTGGCTCAGTTTTGTCTCGTCCAGGTCTAAGACTCTAGCGTCATCATCTTGGCGCGGCGCCTGCTCGACCACCTGCATACTAACTTGCCGCTGCGAGAACAGGCTCCCCACTTGCGGCATGGTGGAATCCATAGTTGATGTTTTTCCCGATAGGTGGCTCTGGTCATCGCTCGCCGTGGCACGCGCTCCTGAAACGAGCCCGAGGTGCGTGAGGTGGGCTGGCGCTGCGAGTAGACAGCCACCCAGACAAGTAGGCAAAAAAAAAATGGCGGCCGTGTACTCGTCTTTCGCACTGACGGGAAAATGACTGACACTGATAGACTTATCAACATTTTCTGCATCCGTGCCAAACTTGACCTAGACGGTTAGGATCAGTGAGTACATATCTTGAAGAGAAACGTGCAAGGACTGTCTCGATCAGTTTTAATGCTAGCAAACGACAATGCTCGTCTGTGGGATGCTGTATTTCCAACCAACTCCAACAAAACTTATACGTAACACTTTACTACCTTGCATGCAGTCTCGAAGTAAAATTTGATTTGTATCCACCCTTCTCGTTAACTTTTAAGAGCCTGACGCAAGCAGCCGCTGCAGTAGACGTGCCCTTGAAATCCAATTACTATTCTAGCGACTGCTTGTATGGGGCTCTGACGTCACTGGGTAGGACCAGGATACGCATTGCAGGGCTGCTCTGAATATTATCGACTACCTACGGAGCTCGCGTACGTGGGAAAGCGAATTGAATAAAACGCACGAATCATCGACTGCCGCTCAGTTTGAGGCAGCACAGCACAAAATGTTTGGTTCATTTGCATCAGGGCATCCCTGAACGCGACGCCACCGAGCCACCTCTCAACCAGCCGGCAACAACGCCGTGAATCTTCAGACAAAGCTCCCGAGCTATAACCACACAGGTAATGGCCAGTTTAACTCCAGTGAATGTTGGGGAGGAGACCCCACTGACTGACATGCCCGTCCGGCGGCGTTCGTGATGCCCGGCTATTCTGACTAGCACGGAGGGCCCAGCCGCACCTGGGTTTCTCCAGCGCTATACTGCTGGCAAAGAAGCAGTAGATCTGGCGGTCAGGACTGGCGGCAGCTGGGTTTGTCCATTACTGGCTGCTGCTTGCAGATAGGTGTGCAGCCATGGCTGGCTGCAGCTGGGTTTGTCTAGCTCTGGGTGTCGCTGTAGATAGGTCTGCAGCCAGGCTGAAGGCAGCTGGGTTTATCTAGCTCTGAGTGCCGCCGCAGGTAGGTCTGCAGCCAGGGCTGGCGGCAGCTGGGTTTGTCTAGCTCTGAGTGCCGCCGCAGGTAGGTCTGCGGCCAGGGCTGGAGGCAGCTGGGTTTGTCTAGCTCTGAGTGCCGCCGCAGGTAGGTCTGCGGCCAGGGCTGGCGGCAGCTGGGTTTGTCTAGCTCTGAGTGCCGCCGCAGGTAGGTCTGCGGCCAGGGCTGGCGGCGGCTGGGTTTGTCTAGCTCTGAGTGCCGCCGCAGGTAGGTCTGCAGCCAGGGCTGGCGGCAGCTGGGTTTGTCTAGCTCTGGGTGCCGCCGCAGGTAGGTCTGCAGCCAGGGCTGGCGGCAGCTAGGTTTGTCTAGCTCTGGGTGCCGCCGCAGGTAGGTCTGCAGCCAGGGCTGGCGGCAGCCGAGTGTGATCAGCAATGAATTCTGTTTCCAGATAGGCGCTGTAGACAGGGTTGACGACAACTTGATGTGCCCACCACTACAGCTAACAGACGGGCTTCAGCCAGGGCCATCCACCCAAGCCCTGTTCAGCATCACTGCAGGGAGGTGACATGCGGCTAAGGCTTGCCACATCTTGGTTTGTTCAGTAGTGCAGCAGGCAGAAAGGTCCCGCACTCTGTGCAAGGCTGACCTCGAATCAAGGCTGACCTTATAAATGCAAGCGCGGCGAGGAGGACGTCTTGAAGTCAACCACAATGAACCCCGGAACAGCTGGGCCGACTGCGCCGTCGTAGAAATCGTGCGGCATTGACTACTGAACGGCCTTCAAGGCCCATGTGATATGCGTATGTTGCAAGGCCAAGTATGTAACTACTTGGCCTTGCCCGAGATCTTACCTTTTGATGTAATGCCAAGTGATGATGTGAAAAGTGATGCGCTGCTGCAGAAAAGTTAGGTTATAGTTCCTCCCTTCCAAGTGTTTATTTTACCCCACTGTAACTGAAAGTGTTTAACGTTGCTTTAACCATGATCCCAGGCGTTCGTCTCACCTGCGATGTGCGAGAGGCTTTACAACTCTACCCTCCTATCTCGAAGGCTAAACGAAGCTCATGCAAGCGGAACGAGCGATCGGACAGCTTGCCTGAAACCGCATCAGATAAACAGCATTGATCATTGGCCAACGTGGACTGATGAGGTAAGCTCGTTGCACACAAGCTTCTTCTTAACTTTTGGAACCACTTCTACTGCTAGCGGGGAAGAGGGGTGCTATATAGCCACCGGCACACTGAATCCAACGTCGGCAGTCACTTGCCTATGGCCGTGACCTGTAGTGTGTTATATCAGGTCACACGGGTTCATGCCTCGTTTGCGTAGACCTCACTTTGTTATCTCAAGAACTGAGTATGGCATGGCAACGAAATCAGTGACGCTCTGAGCGTGTGTCGAACGGCATCAATCATCCGGTAGTGTGGCCTACGCAATATAAAACTAGTCACGCAAGGCCTGTCATGGTTTCCGCACGAAATTTCACAATTCAGCAAAAATCTGTCTAGGTCTGCCCCGGATGATCTGCTTCCGCCTGGGTCGTGACGTCACCAATCTCCGACCGGTGACTGCGGAGAGAGCCCCGGGGACCGCACGTGCACCTTTGACATGCATAGGAGGCTGAGTGGAGCGTGACTGAATGACCTGTGACAGTATCGAGGATTGTCATCAGAGAGGCGTCCTCGTCTATTGTGTGTGTGGTGTGTGTGTGTGTGATGTGTGTGTGTGTGTGTGTGTGTGGGTGTGTGTTTGGTGTGTGTGTGTGTGTGTGTGTGTGTGGTTGTGTGTTGTGTGTTGTGTGTGTGGTGTGTGTGGTGTGTGTGTGTGTGGTGTGGGTGTGTGTGGGTGTGTGTGTTGTGTGTGTGTGTGTGTGTGTGTGTGTGTGTGTGTGGGTGTCGTGTGGTGTGTGTGTGTGTGTGTGTGTGTGTTGTGTGTGTGTGTGTGTGTGTGTGTAATGTATATACCACCCTGGCCGTATTGCAAGTTGCCAGAGTCAATGTTTGAAAAGGCACATCTTAGAAGGTTTCGATGGGAGAAGCGTTGATGATATCGCATTTCATATAGTATAACTTAAGCTTGTAAGTCTCTGGGAACTTCACTGGTCCATGGCAAGCCGTTATTCAACAATGAAATCTATCATCCAAAGCACTGTCTGGAAAACCACATCTCTGGAATCATGAAAATCATGCAGAAATTAAGGCGAAGTATCATCATATGAAGCTTGGCCTCCATCTTGTTTTGGATCTGTATGTGAAACCCGATCCAGATCTATTTGCAAAACATGATCGGAGGATACCAAACGTCTCCAATACAGCAGGCAAGCATGAAGGACTGCCAACCAGGCAGCACGCCGATGTTTAGCTTTGTGCGGGTAAGGTGTGCTGACAAGCGACAAGCACGCGCATGTGGATCGTCTGATCCTGCCACGTTTTGTTTTCCTCTCAGCAAGCTTCACCACTTCAAATGCTGACATCACACATATCGCCGACATATGCTGCTTCAAGTCCGTTTCAAGTTGTCGCGCAGCGAATTTCTACTTACGTACGCAGAGAGAAGTTTATAAGAGGCATGCACAACCCCAACCCAGGCATAGAACTGAGACGGACCAGACATAAAACCAGACACGCACACGACCTTTGGAAGTGAACTCAAGTGAATCAGCACATTTCACTTATAACTCAAACTCGGATTCGGACTCATAACTTCGAAAAACATTGGCTCCATACTCAGACTCAGTTTGAGAGAAGAGCGGAGTGGGAGATGGATTCAGACTCAAACCGGAGGCAATGGAATCGGAGTGGAGAATGGCATCGGAGTTGGATCCAGACTCAAGCCGGAATCGGAGTGGAACGACACAAAGACCCAAACCTAAAGGAATAAAGGCTGAACCAATACATCATCTATGTAAATAGCACTCACCCTTCACCTAATGTTGTCCTAAGTGATCAACTTAATCTGAATTTCATAACTCAGGTTTCGAGAAGCTTTGACCCGCAATGAAGCTTAGGTATTGATGCATATGTCATGCATGCTCTTATACATATTTAGCGAAACATATGTCATGGGAGACAGGGCTGTTAGTACCAATATAATAACGCGTTATAGCGCTGGCCTGGTGCAACGGCCGAAAAGGCTAGGTCACGCTGGGCTGCGTTTCGGATGAGTCACAATGGGTTAGGTTTCTAATTGTAACCTTAAATGACCTTGATAATGAGGATAGCTATCTTGACGATAGCTATCCTTGACAATCTTGCATGCAAATATATACATTTGTACCGTATGAATCCGTAATGATTTACGGAATGGACTTTTTCTTTTGCGACTCAGAGATGAGCGCAGGCTCAACGTCAGAGTCCTTGGATTCAGACTCGAGATCATATGCAGATGGACTCCGTCGTGTGCAGTGTGGTGCCGCACCCATGCACAAGGCATCGGGAATCGCAGATTCCGGGGATTCAGGCTACTAGACCCAAACACATACCGGTCCCAAGCGAACACAACCCCCGTCTGCACAAAGTCGGGGAGTTTCTCTCACGAACCACGTTGGCTCCAAACGCTTGTTTCCAGATGGCGTCGCTAGCCTCACACTCTGCACGTCGCGTGCATGCGGTTGACTCATCCCGCGCACATCCGCGAGAGCTGTCACTTATTCGAGGACGGCGCACTTCGCTCTGACCTCCTTTCTGCCAGATCACACCCTGTGCTTAGTTTGGACGGACGAGCGTGACCATAAGACGTGGGCGCCGCATGCTTGGCCCGCCGGCCCGCCGGCCCGCGGCGTCCCCGCGGCCCCATGCAAGATGGCCACTGGGCCTGATAATGCGACGCGGGTCGACCGTCGCGTGCGCTCGGCTACAGATCGGCACACCGATCCACTTCAGGAGTTGACGAGTCCCGCCGGTGATGGGTGACGTCACTGGGGCCGCCCAGCAACGCTCACATAGTTTGGCTGGGCTATCGCGGCTCGGTCGTCAGCAACAGCTGTGTAATCAGGAAGGTCGGGCGAGTTGGTCAAGGGTTCGCGATGTACCGATACAATCAGAGACGTTGCAGAAGACCAGGGAACCCGAAACCGTCAAGGATCCCCAGAGACGACAAATGGCGAGGTCCGCACAGTCGCGGAAGCACCACATGGATGACAAACCACAAGGATGATCGTCACATGGTCCTCAGATAATTACAGCACCTCAGACAATGCTAAAGGCTTCCCTGGGCCTTCAAAACGGGCTGTTTGAGGTCAGGGCGCTAGGACGAGCTAAGAGGAGGATCAGTGATCCCCAGAGGCGCACTAAGAGTGCGCGCCTCGAACCGACCCCATCTTCTGGTTACCGATGAGAGATAATACAATGCTTCATGAATCTGTCCGTTGGTACATGCCACGAAAATCAGTGGAAAGTCAGTGTCTCCAGAGATTACCCGCATAATTCCAAGCATGTCATGGCACCTTCGTATCCTGTGCTCCAAATAAGCCATTGATGTCCAATCAAAACCACTGATGTTTAGATGGACTGCACCCAGCGCCCACTGATAAGTGGCCAGACGTGGCACCATCTTGAGCTGCGGCTGACGGCACGTGTAGATTACAATCTACGGCCCGCTCATTTAAAGCATGGGAACCGTAAAACTCCTTCATAAGAGTTGAGTTCAGTCACAGAGTAAAAGCTTTGCAGCCTCCGCATGAAAAGAACTTTAATTTGTTTGCCCGTGTATCCTTCCAGCGTCCTGTTAGTGTCGTCGCTTCAACAAAGACCGACGGACAGATGACAGAAGACGAGGGACGAACGCTTGCGGCGCTGCAGCTGCCGCAAGCAGCTGCTGCGTGGTGCTGCAAGGTACTGCGTGCAGCGGCAGCATGGCCGGCAGGCTAGCACGACAGCTTGGCGACGGTGTTTATGGCGGCCAGCGCGCGACGCACGCCGGGGCCGAGCAGAGGCGGCTCCAGAAGGGCTCCAGAGGCGGCTCCAGAAGGGCTCCAGAGGCGGCTCCAGGCCAGCGGGAGAGTTGGAGGCTCGTGGAGCAGGGAATGCATGTCGTAACCTGGCTGCGCCAAGTTACCCGGGATGTACACACACCCAACTGGGTATAACGTTAAAGGACGGCTGGTGGAGATGGTCTTTCTGAGACATGCGTCTTGGTTTTCGCTCTTTGAGCAGATACAGGTTCTCAGATTCTGACGCACTGAATTCATTTTTTTTCGTATTGGAAGAAAACGCTCTAGCAAGTGCGTTGCTGAGGCTCAAAATTGTGCCTGCTTCGCAAAGTATTCCTGTTCGGCAAAAATATTAAGGAGAGTCTCGGGCATTCTTTACGGGTATTCGACGTTACTAAATATTCATTAAAATATGTATAATGAACTACATTTATCGCTACTCACGCGGGCTGGCCATCAGGATTTTGCCGAAGCCGGGCTGGGATGAGTGTGAACTGAGCCAGTTCAGTAAGAGCTCCCAGTATTCTTTAACGTCCAAGTCCAGATTCACCGAGAGAGGTAAATCGGGCTCCACGTCCACAGGCAGTTGAAAACCTGCGCCAAAATCACAGGGCCTTTTAACCAAGGAAATATGAAAACCGCACAATAACAAACTGTTCTGGCTAGTCCCCGACAAATATGTTCATTTGTCAAACGATTGTTAAGCAATCAAAGGCGAAGACTTCATGGTGAGCGTTGTTGTAAAACAGCTCTTTGCTGCATTAAGCGCCATGCAGAAAATCGGTTTTAAAGCTGTCGAGTCATGTGCGTGCGAGAATTTGTGAGGCCGGCAACCGCTAAAAAAGAAGCGGCAGTGGACGAGCACAAATGAGAAGCTCGGCCCAGCAAGCAGGGATTCGCAAGGAAATGTGGATATTGGCATGAGACATCCCTAACCTCCCCTCCCCACCCCCACCCCATCCCCATCCCCACCCACACACATCTGGGTTTTTTAGGCCATGACAATGTTTGATCTAGATATATGGCGTTGCATGAAACGAATTTAAACAAGGCCCGTGTGATTCTCGCTGGTTTGGGAATGTCGTGTCAGTGGGTTAGATAAGCGCCTGCAGCCCGTTTCCTCTGGCTGGTGCTAGTGTGCGCAGTTGGACTTGAGTACTGCGGTCGGAGTGCAACGTCCCATACTGGGCAATTTCTCGCAGTCCGAAACGAAAAAATAGACGCATGAAACATCGATCTCACCATTCATAGCACCGTTTTCTCGTGCAAGCTATAATACTGAGGACTAACGCCTTAAGCGGGCATTGACCACACTGGTGGCTTTTCCGAAATACATCATCCCTCGCTGGGCGTCGTCTGGCCACGCCTCTCCGCCTACCCCAGGCTCGTCGCGTGAGCTAGACAGGCGTCTTTCGTGTCAACGCATCGCCGTGCCCCCGCCCTCCGAAGCAATCCCCTCAGCGGCGCCGGTCCAGGCAGCGTGCGAACGTGGCCCGAGCCAGGGCGCAGCGCGCAGCACGGCGGCGGGCGCGGCTAACCTGCGCACTGGGCAGCCTCGTGGCTCGCGTGACGCCGAAGCCCAGATTGACACGGCCGCGAATCAGGCGCAATTGCCGCTGTTTTTGCGGCCGCGGTGCCGTGCAGTCCGAAATGAAAGCGCGCCGGCCGCGCGCCGGCGCACGTGGTCGGCCCGCTCCGCGCCACGCTCAATCCCGGTAAAAGGCGCGGGAAAAGGCACGGGAAAAGGCGCCGGTTTTAATCCCTTGTGTGTGAGAGAGCTACGAAAAGGACAGTTCGACACGAAATGTCTCACAAGGATGCCGGAAGACATGCGTACGGAAATAGGGCAATGGCGGTTCATGGGCAATTTGTTATTGTCCCAGCAGTTTTCGTCGTTGAAAAGACAATGCTGTTCCACTTGAAGTAGCGGTTGCATTAAAGACACCACGCTCTCAAAAATCCAAGGCTGCTTTCTGGTCTGACAACCCCGGTCTGAAATCGATCGGTCGTGCACTTCATTTCACTTATAACATCCATTGAGTGGAAGCCGGAACAGCACCGGCTAAAATTTTAAACATGGACAAAACGCGTGTAATTTGAAGGCATTGACTGGTGCCCAACAGATGAGGGGGGGGGGGGGGGGGCAGTAGGCTGCTTCGTCATGCATCTTAACCAATCCGCCAAATTATTTGAGGTGGGGACAACCGGTGGCCTTAGCAGGAGACAAGAAATAACAGCAGAAGTGGGAGCATGTTACGCTTTGGCGATGACGAGATGAGAACGTGGAGAAGACGAAATTTGAAGATCCCTACAGATCAATGAGAACGGATTACTAGGGACCATCTCATCTGTATAATGTAACGTGATGCAATACCGGGCTGCACACGTGCCAAGGAACAATCTGAACGTCACTAATGGCATGCCTTGAAGGCAGCCGTCTCAACCCGCGAGCGGTAGACGTCAGCTACTTGAAAAGAAAGTGCCACGCTTGGGACCTACCACCAAAAAGCTCTGCACCTCGAATGTGCGTGACTGACAATCACTGTCCGTGACCTAAGAAAGTATACCCGCGTCACCTTAAGCACATATGAAACAAATCCTTTTGATTTAGATGGTGATTTTGGCCAGCATAAGCAACCGGTCCAAGCCACAAATGCGACCACTTCACTTCAAGCGTGGCAGCAGTCTTCTGACGGACAGCCGGCCAATTTAAAGGGCCCAACAAATTGGCCGCAGTGCTGGCGGCCAGGCTTCTGCACTGCTAACCTCATGCGTCAGACGCGAATGTGCTAGGATTCCGCTGAATTGGAATGCTTCTCATATTCTCTCACCACAATACAGCGTTGTAAGTTTCATACCAACGGAGTTTAGTACTACGCAACTTATTTTTCCTTACCAAAGGAAATTAGTCACACAGTGTGACGGCTTGCTGTCTGTAAGGACCTGTAACGACCTGTAAAGACCCATAACGACGAAGTCTAAAGACCTAACATTTGGCCGTAGAAAGAGATTCATGAAATTATACGAGCGTTTTATTTACATAAGTATCATATATATATATATATATATATATATATATATATACAAATAACATGCTCCGAGTAGAAAAGCTTATATATTCAGGAAGAATTCGGGAGCTAGGTTTCAGTCATGCGTGTGTACGTGTTCGCCTGAAATGTGCCAGTTTCACTTTAACGAAGGACTTACTTTAACTACATCACTTGTGATAAGTGATGTTATACACTGCACGTTTACTACCCATTTTACTATTATCTTCGTTTGTTTTCTTATCTTCTTATCTATCTTTCTTATCTTTCTTATCTACTTCGTATCTTCGAAAGTTTGTCTGCTTAGGCATTCAACGTCCAAGCATACTGACAAACAGAATTTGAGAAAGATCCAAGCCATGGGTTTTTCTTAAGAAAACTGAGCCAGCCCAGACTACACCATTTTGGAGCTGCTCTGGCTAAGCCCAACTTTGCCCAGTTCTGTGAGGTAGACACAAGTTGTTTTCCTCGATTTATGTACGCTAAAATCGGGTTGTCCAGCAAAAATTTGCTGCTTTTGAACTACCATAGACCGAAATAACAACGACCTGCCATTGCTTCTTCTCCGCTATGGTGGGAGTTCGGTTTTCGCCAGTCTGAAGCCATCTAGTTTTAATGCTTTCTCGCGAGCTTGGGTCAATTAAACGTGTTGCAAACCCCCTTGCAAATGAAGGGGAATACACAATATATCCACTTCATATCAGTTGCTTCGCGGTGCTGAGCAGCAACGATGCATCCAATGTACCATGTTACACTCCTATTGTAGCCGAAACTAAGAATAACCTTATGCTCACAATATATTTAATTAGCCCAGAAAAACGCTACGTTTTTACGTTTTTTCATGCAGAGCTGGCGAGTGAGTCCTGGCGGGTCAGTGATGGGATACCATGTTTTTCTCAACTTATTCATTCTATTATGAGCATAGCGTTATTCTTATTGTCCCCTACACACATAATCATGTTCTTCATCCAGCTAGTGTTATGCCATACAAGTTACGGTCCTGCTAGGCAGATGAGCCAAGCCCGCACAACCAGCACATTTCTGTAGTCTATGAAAACATCCTCGATCCCGTGCATTGGTAGTGAGGCGACACGCTGTCGCGATGTTGGGTGTGGAGGTATCTGTTCATGCACTCTCATGTGTACATGTGCGCTGCAGCCCCCGCAGTCCCCACTTACTTGCTTCTGTTTTACGGTACGAATGGCATTCCTTAATTCTCAACTCCGCTAGACAGATCACTCCGATCTCCGCCGTGTGTCGTCCGGGCGTTCCCAGCCCTGCGTCCCATCCTGCGCCGCCAGCACTCACCGACGGCCGACGCCACCAGCACCAGCACCAGCAGGCTGCAGCTGCCCATGCTTGACCGCTGCTGCTGACCTCCCTCCTCGACGTCGCCCTGCGGAGAGCCGGCCCGCCTCGCCACCGAGGAGTGACACGCCGCCTGAGTGCCCCCTCCCTCCCCCTCCTCTCCGGCAGGGGGCCCGGGTGTCGTCGGGTCGGCGCCCCCCCCCCCCCCGTAGGTCAGTAAACACGCGGCGCGTCTGGCGTTTGTTCGCGGCCAGGCGCCGGCGACACCAGTGCAGTGCAGGGCTGACTGTGTAACCTGACCGGGCGGCGGCGCGGGCCGAGTGGCGCGGGCATGACGGGACGAGGACAGAGGGGGGGGGGCAGTGTCTCGGGCCGGCAGTGTGCCCCAGACATGGCGGTAGTCGGGAGGGGGGACCGCCTGGTACACGTTGTTAACAGTTAGCTGTTGAGGAACACACCTGGTTGCATCCTCTCCCAGATTCTAAACGATGTGTCCCAGGCAAACCTCTCTCCTGACCGCCGTCATGTTGGTATTTGCACGCTTGACAAAAGACAAAAACGTTGCGTCGCTTTACAGGCATTCTGTAAACGGCCAATGAGGCCTGCCGCATCCCATAGTCCAAAAACCAAACAATGACGATCAGACTAAGGCTTTGAACAACTCATTCTTCTACCCGTAAAACGGAACCAAAGCCATGCGTGTATTTAACATCACTCGCATCACGAGCACGCATAAACAAACGAAACTGGAATGTTGGTTATTCAGTTTTAAGGTCGAGTCAACTGCCTTGGTCATTTGAGCCCCTCGAGGCTGGAGTGACACGTCAGATAATAGTGTTTTTAAGACACTGGTTTAAGACACTGGACACCGCCGCTCTTTACGGCACTTCAGTGACATAAGTGATCCGGTATCTGAACTGCATCCACTGTGTCATGTGGTCACGCGACCGTACCATGCGTCACACCGTACCATGTGCCACGCAGCTGTACCATGCGTCACGCCGTACCATGTGGCCACGCCAGCTTTCCATGCGTACACGCCGTACCATGGCCACGCAGCTGTACCATGCGTCACACCGTACCATGTGCCACGCAGCTGTACCATGCGTCACGCCGTACCATGTGCCACGCAGCTGTACCATGCGTCACACCGTACCATGTGCCACGCAGCTGTACCATGCGTCACGCCGTACCATGTGCCACGCAGCTGTACAATGCGTCACACCGTACCACTGTGCTCACGCAGCTGTACCATGCGTCACACCGACCATGTGCCACGCAGCTGTACCATGCGTCACCGCGTACCATGTGCCACGCAGCCTGTACCCTGCGGTCACCCGTACCATGTGCCACGCAGCTGTACCATGCGTCACACCGTACCATGTGCCACGCAGCTGTACCATGCGTCACGCCGTAACATGTGCCACGCAGCTGTACCATGCGTCACGCCGTACCATGTGCCACGCAGCTGTACCATGCGTCACACCGTACATGTGCCACGCAGCTGTACCATGCGTCACACCGTACCATGTGCCACGCAGCTGTACCATGCGTCACACCGTACCATGTGCCACGCAGCTGTACCATGCGTCACACCGTACCATGTGCCACGCAGCTGTACCATGCGTCACGCCGTACCATGTGCCACGCAACTGTACCATGCGTCACGCCGTACCATGTGCCACGCAGCTGTACCATGCGTCACGCCGTACCATGTGCCACGCAGCTGTACCATGCGTCACACCGTACCATGTGTCACGCAGCTGTACCATGCGTCACGCCGTACCATGTGCCACGCAACTGTACCATGCGTCACACCGTACCATGTGCCACGCAGCTGTACCATGCGTCACGCCGTACCATGTGCCACGCAGCTGTACCATGCGTCACGCCGTACCATGTGCCACGCAGCTGTACCATGCGTCACACCGTACCATGTGCCACGCAGCTGTACCATGCGTCACGCCGTACCATGTGCCACGCAGCTGTACCATGCGTCACGCCGTACCATGTGCCACGCAGCTGTACCATGCGTCACACCGTACCATGTGCCACGCAGCTGTACCATGCGTCACACCGTACCATGTGCCACGCAGCTGTACCATGCGTCACACCGTACCATGTGCCACGCAGCTGTACCATGCGTCACACCGTACCATGTGCCACGCAGCTGTACCATGCGTCACGCCGTACCATGTGCCACGCAACTGTACCATGCGTCACGCCGTACCATGTGCCACGCAGCTGTACCATGCGTCACGCCGTACCATGTGCCACGCAGCTGTACCATGCGTCACACCGTACCATGTGCCACGCAGCTGTACCATGCGTCACACCGTACCATGTGCCACGCAGCTGTACCATGCGTCACACCGTACCATGTGCCACGCAGCTGTACCATGCGTCACGCCGTACCATGTGTCACGCAGCTGTACCATGCGTCACGCCGTACCATGTGCCACGCAACTGTACCATGCGTCACACCGTACCATGTGCCACGCAACTGTACCATGCGTCACGCCGTACCATGTGCCACGCAACTGTACCATGCGTCACGCCGTACCATGTGCCACGCAGCTGTACCATGCGTCACGCCGTACCATGTGCCACGCAGCTGTACCATGCGTCACACCGTACCATGTGCCACGCAGCTGTACCATGCGTCACACCGTACCATGTGCCACGCAGCTGTACCATGCGTCACACCGTACCATGTGCCACGCAGCTGTACCATGCGTCACACCGTACCATGTGCCACGCAGCTGTACCATGCGTCACGCCGTACCATGTGTCACGCAGCTGTACCATGCGTCACGCCGTACCATGTGCCACGCAGCTGTACAATGCGTCACACCGTACCATGTGCCACGCAGCTGTACCATGCGTCACGCCGTACCATGTGTCACGCAGCTGTACCATGCGTCACGCCGTACCATGTGCCACGCAGCTGTACCATGCGTCACGCCGTACCATGTGCCACGCAGCTGTACTGTACCATGCGTCACGCCGTACCATGTGCCACGCAGCTGTACCATGCGTCACGCCGTACCATGTGCCACGCAGCTGTACCATGCGTCACGCCGTACCATGTGCCACGCAGCTGTACCATGCGTCACGCCGTACCATGTGCCACGCAGCTGTACCATGCGTCACGCCGTACCATGTGCCACGCAGCTGTACCATGCGTCACGCCGTACCATGTGCCACGCAGCTGTACCATGCGTCACGCCGTACCATGTGCCACGCAGCTGTACCATGCGTCACGCCGTACCATGTGTCACGCAACTGTACAATGCGTCGCGCAACTGTACCATGCATCCGCTTGATGCACCATGGCGGAGACCACTAGTCGAGCGAGCCTGTCTTGAGCAGTGCGAGAATCATCAACCCGGCCCAACCCTGACGGTACATACCCTCCGGAAGGTGGTATCCGGTTAGCTACGGATCGGAAAAGAAGAACGGTGCTTGCAGACATTTTACTGCAATATTCGGCCGCTGGATTGCGGGAACCGTTTTGTGGACTCACGCAAAGGCGCGGTGAAAATACAACTAAGTTTCACGGTTACTGATGTCACAGCAGAATCGTCTATGGACATCAGTAACATCCGTAATATTCTGGAAAGGTGTAAGCAACCACACGACACCAAGCCACTAACATCGATCTAGGTAAGATGCACTCAAAGCTCGCCACAGCGATATAGAACCGTTTGTCTAGGTATAAATATTCATTTCGTGGAACACCCATCATTGCTCTGCTCAGGGCCGTTTCTAATCTGCAATAATCATGAGTTAGTGATCTGCAGATTATATATTAGAGCAGCATTATTGGTTAAACATGGCTTTTAAGGTCCGTTTTTCATGAAGCACACATAGCCATGCGCAAACAATGTTATGTAGACTGTACACAGCTGCTGACTGCTTTCATTAAACATTATTAAATTAAGTGCCACGCTTTAGCCTTGCACGAACTAGTGGGCAAATAACCTAATAAATAAGCAAAACTACAGGTCACCAGTACCTGAAATCCTGTGCAAAGCCGCGTGCCGCCCCGTTTACCACATTCAAGCATGGTCGATCACAGCTTACTCCCGCCCCGCCGTTCCGTACAAGCCGCCCTCTTTTCCGGCGGGCAGCTTCCTCCGACTCGGTACACGATTCGTTGCCACGGCAACCCTCGTGCGGCCTCTGCTGCGACAATTAGCGACCGGTGACCATCCGTTTTGCTTACAAGAATGACGCATCTCTTGGCAGAGCAGGAATCCACTAATGACCCATTCGGGGTCACAGACTCCGCCCCCGGATGTTGAACCGGCTACAACCAGTCACCCTTTCATCCAACGGCTGCCAGACTGGTCCGTCACCACACGGCGCTTATCTTGGAGCGTGGATAACGCAGTTTAGTCTCGATAGAACGCCATTGCTCTAATAAATGTACTTAGCGATAACTTCAGCCTGGCGTAAAGAATCACTGATGGTATTAAATGGGCCAACACTGACGTCGCCGTACTTGGACTTGAAATCAGCGGCTGGGTACATGTCCTTCTAGCGGCATCTTGCACGGAATGAAGTGAGTCGTAAAACTGCAAATGCCGACCTCAAATGTTTCCAAATGGTGGGATGAAACCACATGGCACATCTGATTCGGTCGGGCCATGGAATATAAACTTGATGTTTCGCCAGTGGGACGGTGAAATATTGAGGGGATCAGTCAGGGATCAGTGAAATATTGAGGAGATCAAAACAAACATGAGATGGTGCCCTTCCCCCTAAAAAACACATGTGGACCCCCACCCATGCTGGAGCGCCCGGGATCGGACGTACTGATATTGTTCGGTTGCGTGTTTATCTCCTCTGGTAGCCGAGATATGCAATAAATCCTCAAAGTCACTCAGGACTGATGGGGGCACTTTTATCGTTCGAGCGAGCAGTGTCCGGTTGAGCACATCGATTCGCATTGTTACCAGTACGACTCTGCTTCCTCTTCAAATGGTAACGGTCTTGTATCGCTGCGCCCCGGACCGTCGAAACTACATCCAACTACCCAGTTTCGACCCGCGTTGTGGAGCAGTTCTCCCAATCAGTGTGTTTTACTTTTA